GGATGCACATTTGATAAATGATGTGTGTGTGTGTGTGTGTGTGTGTGTGTGTGTGTGTGTGTGTGTGTGTGTGTGTGTATCTGTAGGAAGCTTGAGAATGCAGTTCTCATGGGGGCCAGAAGAGGAAGCTGGATCCTGCAGAGCTGGAATTTTAACTGGTTTTGAGGTGCCTGCCAACATGGGTGGTTGAAACTAAACTCAGATCCTTTGACAGATCAGCAAGTGCTCTTAACTTGTGTCTACAGTTCCAGTTTATTATTATTTTCTATATTCTAGATATTCTTCAGTATAGTATAACCAGTAGATATTTTTCCATCTGTGTGGGCTGCCTCTTAACACGCTAATAACATTTTTAATGCAAAAAAAATAGTTTTATGCAATCACACTTGTTAAAATGTGGTCTTATTTCCTGAGTTATTCTATATATTTAGATGTTTTCTTTATAAGATTCATCCTTTCTGGACTTACACTAAAGTATGTGATGATTTGGACTTGATTTTGGAACAGGACAATGGTTGGGAAATATGTCTTTTCAACCTCTTGTTGGCAGGTTTTCCACTAGCATTTCTTGAGTAGGCTTCTCTTCTCCACTTTATATATGAGGAGATTGCCTAATAATAAATTGATTTTTTTCCTAGAGTGTATTTTGATAATGTTTTTATCTTCACCCAATTTCTTCTGGGTCCTCTTCACTTACCTACCTACCTACCTTTACATTGTTTTTTCTCTATTTTTGTTTATAAACAAAACCAAAAACAGGAGAAAAAGGCAAAGAGAACACCACAAGGGCATTTAGGAATTTAGCTTAGTGTAAGAGCACTTGCCTAGCAAGTGCAAGTCCCTGGGTTTAGTTTTCAGCTCTGTAAAGAAAAAAACATAAAAATGAAAATTAAGCTGGGCGGTGGTGGCGCACGCCTTTAATCCCAGCACTCAGGAGGCAGAACCAGGCGATCTCTGTGAGTTTGAGGCTAGCCTGGTCTCCAAAGCGAGTTCCAGGAAAGGCGCAAAGCTACACAGAGAAACCCTGTCTCAAAAAAACAAAAAACAAAAAAACAAAAAAAAATGAAAATGAAAATAAACATCAAAAACAAATAGACATGTCTTTCCATAAGTTGCTGTGTGAAGTGTCTCTTATGACAATAGGTCTAGACATCAGTTTATGAATATGAAGGGATATCATTAGGAATCATTCCATTGATATTTTTTCCAATCATGCTTGGTTCTATCCCAGGTCTCTGGGATATCCTGATTCTGAGTCCCGGTCCTCATGGGAGATTTCCTCTCATGGAATGTGTCTCCAGCTGTGCCAGTCATCTGTTGGTCCCTCTCACAATTTCTGTACCATCTTTACCCAACAGACCTTGTAGGTGGGACAAACTGTAACAGCCAAACATTGAGCAGAGCATGGGAAATCCTTCAGAAGAGGGAGAGGAAGGATTGTAGAACCCAGTGGTGTCAAGGGCACCACAAAAAACCCACACAATCAACTAACCTGGGCTCATTAGGGCTCACAGAGACTGAAAGGACAACCAGAGACCCTACATGAGACTAACCTAGACTCTCTGCCTATATGTTAGAATTGTGTGACTTGGTCTTCGTGTTGGACTCCTAGAGATGTCTCTGACTCTGTTGCCTGCTTTTGGGAGGCATTTATTCTGCTGACTGCCTGATCCAACCTTGGTGGAAGAATGGCTGCCTGCTCTCCCTGCAGCTTGATATTCCAGGACTCAGTGATATCCACGGGATTCCTGCCTGTATCTAAAGAATAACAGTGAAGGAGGATTAGATGTGGTGAGGTTGCAGTATAAAGTAGGGGGGACCTAGGAAGAGGGAAGGGAGGTGAAGCTTTGGGTGGAATCTAAAATCAAAAAAATAAATAAACAAAAACCTAATAATAAATACAAAAAAATGGAAAAGAAACAAATACACAAAGAAGACCAAGGGAAGCAAATTATGATGAAAAGTCTACAAAAATACCATTCTGTCCATTTTGTGTTATTCAACCACTCCTGTGTGTGGCCCGGTCCTGAAATGTGTCTAATAATATGCTCAGTGAGACTCCATGTGAGAAAACAGATTTTCCCTTTCAAAGCAAGTATCAATTTCACATAGCTTCTTTTTTAGGGATGAGAATTCATGTCCACTTGCTCCTTACAATTATGAGACATCATCTGAACCTGTACCATTTGAAACACAACAGGACTTGATCATGCTCACACAGTCTGGTTGAGCTTAAATATGTATCAGTGCCATTTTGTCTAGAAGACAGTGCTTCCTTGGAGATATCCATCACCTTTGACTCATAATTCTGTCTGTCTCCTCTTCCACATAGATCTTGGAGTCTTGATTTGAAGGAATTAGTGAAAATAGCTCACTGAAGACAATATGCTCCAAAGTTCTTCACTCTCTGCGCACACTGTCCAGTTGTGGATTTCTGTGTTAGTTCCCATTGACTACAAGAAGCATCTTCTCTGATGAGAGCTGAGTGATGCACTGATGAATGAGTATAGCAGAATATCATTAGGATTCTTTTTGTTGCTGAGTTTCTTAAACAGAATATTAGTACTAGATTTTTCCCTTTGTCTTTCGCTTGTATATTCAGGGGTTCTGGGAATCTTTATCCATGTCAGGTCGAGTTCCATTTTATGGAGTGGACTTTAAATCTGGTCAGACATTGATTAGTTAAACCCCTAATATTTATGCCATTATTGTACTTATATATCATGCAGGCAGGACACTTGTAGGTTACAAAGTCTGTAGCTGGCTTGGTAGTTACAATTCTCCTCTGCTAGAATGCAGAATAACTTCCAGTAACACAAATGCAAGTCAATGGTGGTGAATGCTTTGGGTAAGCACTAACTTGACTTCTCCATGTTCAATGAAATAATAAGTGGTGTCTTCTGCAATAAAGCTTACCAGAAACTTGTTTAGAATAACCTATAGCTTTGGGAAAAGCCAATGATGTTTGGTAGTTTCCATGGATCCCCTTTGGCCAATGACTCAACAAGATATGTAACCCATTCCTGGCACTAGATAAATATTTGGTGCAGAAAATATCTAGCTGGGGCACTGTTCCCCCTTTTATTTGGTGATTCCATTTAGACTTCCTTCACACATGTAAATGCTTTAGGAACCTTCCAAGTAGCAGGTTTCCAGATAGTTTTCAACTAGCCTTGAGTGTGAGTTGTCCTTCTCAACACACCCACATTCACCACTCTTTGCCATACCCTCCCTTTTTAATCTAATTCTGTTTGCCTGTGTCTCTCCATAACAGTGTCTGTCTCTGTTTAGGAATTCCTTTAAAAAATTATTAGAACTGAAAAAATCCTTATAGTTCAAATGTACTATGATTTCATTATCCATTCTTCAGTGGATGAGGATGCTTACAAATTCCAACAGTTATAAATAGAAGAAGAATGAAAACCATGAACAAATATCTGTGTAGCAAGATGCAGAATACTTTGTGTATGTGCCCAAGAATAATATTGCTGGATCTTCAAGTAGATAGATTCACAACCTCATGAGGAATTGTCACACTGGTGTCCATAGTGGCTGCACATGTTTTTATCCCCACAAGAAATCATTAAGTGTTCGCCACTCCTGGAATCCTCACCAGCATGTGCTGTCATTTGTATTATTGGTCTTAGCAATTCTGACTGATGGAAGAGGAATTTTCAAAGGAGTATTTACTTGCTTTTCTGTGATGGCTAAGAATGATTTCTTTAAGTGTTGTTCAGACATTTGTGTTTAATCTTCTGATATCTCACTGATTCTTTATCCCATTTTTAATTTGGCTATTCTTTTTTTTAATTTTTTTTA